AATAGTGTTCCACATACTTGATATGATTAGCCTGGAAGCCTTAAAGTGCTTTCCAGTTGTATAAGAACAAATGCCACTCAGATTTGGCTGATGACTAATACTACTATGTCTAGCCTTCTCTATCATTTGTAATTTAACCTTTCCCAACCTTGTAGCTCATGGCACAGCTGTGTTGTAGAAAGAACAACTGTTTCCATGAAGACATCATTGTCCAATTTTAAAAGAATATAATTCTCTTTCAGAACAAGTACCAAGACTCCATTTCCCATTGTTTATTTCAGAGCCCAGTTCTTGGTTTTGTTTTCGTTGTTTACATTACAGTGCCAGGGAAATAGGAAGACAAGAGTGAGATTTTACTGTCCTTAGTTTTCATCAAAGAAACGTGAACAGTACTATACAATTACTTTTCAATAATTGTGCAGTCACCTAGTAGGGAATCTTCTTTGGAATATTTTATTTATAAAGACAATTATCACTCCATTTGAATTTGTTGAGAGCATGAGGCATTATGGCAGATAGAGAATGGGAAATGCAAATGTGAATAACACAAATTCGTCTTACAGAAAAGCCACAATATAGATCTTTGAAGAAGAAACCATTAACATACAGGAAAAAGTAATGGGAATTTCCTCTCGAATTTTGTATCTCATCCTTTTCAGCTTCATTTTGTGTATATTTATAGCATAGAGTGATATAGACTAATAAATGTATGTAAATTATGAACAACACCAGTGTTTTAGCCTGTAAGTGTGTACAGTCAAAAAAGTTTGGAAACCACTGAACCTAAATGCATAGACTATCTTAACCAAAAATTTTGGAGCAATTGAGAAATACATTATGATCTGCTCATAAGTAGTTTCAAGACATTACAACAAACTAGTATTTTTCATTAGGTAATCTTTTGTTTGAGCTTCTCTTTATTTATTTATTTTTTTTTTTACTACCTGGTGATCATATGCAACCTGCGGAAAAACCAATGAACCTTTGTAATATTCACTATATTCCTAGATTCCTAATATTTCATAGTGGACTATATATATTCATATGTATGAATGACACCAAAGAGGGTCTTTATTCACTCCTACCAAGTATGGCACAGCCAGAAATGATCATCCCTTGGCGCAGAATACAAATTAATTGTTTAATTTTGACCTTAAAATTCACCAGTCAATGAAATTTTATATAAGAAAAGGGACTTGATACGTGCTTTCTCCTTTAATAAAATAGAACTTTTTTTGATGTATGATCCACACAGACATAATTTATATGCTACAAATGTAAATCCAATCTGGGGAAATTTTATTCCTTCATAGATCCAGATTTCGTGAATAAATTAGATGCCGATTAAAATGTCATTGCAGCAGTGATACACTTCCTCAATGGGAATCACAGAAGGTTCCTATATATGTCCTTTTATTTGAATGTGGTCTACACTTTGCCAATTTTCAGAAACATTCACTCAAATTGCAAAAGAGCTGGTTTTTAGCCAGTGTTCCAATGGCTGGACTGGCATATTGAAAGAAATTCAGTTGGGAAGCAGGCCTTACCAAGTGTTTGCCTCATCTTCCAAAGCAAGCTTTCTTCTATAGAAGAAAAAGCAAAGTTTAAGAAGAGAAAGAAGCCTTGAGGGGAATGTGAAGGAGATGAAGAAGAAGAGAAGAAACAGAAGAAACTAAAGGTGCTTTCATATTTTCAGTTGCAACAGTAGCCCTGTAGACTTAATTGACATTCATCTGAGAAAAACCAAGGAAACCAATTGAAAACTATAAAAGAAAATAAAGGTCTGTTTTTGTCTTGAATGTTGAGTTCTGTGTTGTTTTGACTGTTGAGCACAGTGAATCAGATTTATAATGTGACTCTGCCCCTCACCCCCTTGCTTTGAAAATAAAAGGACTCTTTGTGTAGTCTTAAAGTGTTAAATACTTGGTGACATTTTGTGGTAGCCTGGCTTCTCAATCCCTCATCCTTTCTCATTCCACTACTGTGTCTTGTGCAGTCTTGCATATGTTTGTGGTGTGTAGAGGACTAAGGGGGGACTTTCTTATGTCTGACAGTACCCACACCATCCAACTGCTATCCGTTAAAATGGTTCCGTGTTCTGTGTCATTGTGATTCTTTGTTCAGATGTGCTGCCTAGAGATAGGCCCATGCTTGGCTTTTTGTACAGCTCTCATGCCAAATTCTTTGTGGAATTATGTTGTCTTTTGCTTGAATGCTTTTCTCCCAAATAATGTTAAGAAGGGGCATGGGAGACTTTCACTTTTAAAATAGTTATTTATGTCATTTTTATATTTTATCTAGGCTTAGTCTTCTTAAAGTAAAACTTGGTTGAAATTGTATAAAAATTCAAGATTCTGCTCCAGCATTCCAAAATAGTAAAAGTTACGACAAAGAGACTGACTAGAGATGTAGTTCAGTGATAGGATGTTTGCCTAGTATGTGCAAGATCCTTGGTTTGATTCCCCAGCAGAGAGGTAGGGAGACAGAGACACAGAGACATAGAGACATAGATAATGAGAACAAACTTTGTCAAAATGTAACAAAAAATATATGCCCTAGGGTATTAGGTAATATGAGAAAGATTTTCTTTTAAAAAAAAATCACTTTGTGAAAATAAGCCCGCCATCCTTAAATTCTAAAACTATAATCTAGATCCTTTTTTTTCTTTCACCCTCTTTCTATAACTGAAAAAGTAATAATATGTTGTGCCACCTGATACCTTAACTACTGTAATTCTCATCTACTAGGCCTCTTAGTGATACCCAACCCCCTACTCTCAAAAAATTACTTCTTCCTTTACATGCAATCTTGCCTTGAGGCAAATAGAATAATTACTAAATAATTCCCCATTGTCCTTTCCTGGATTATGATTTTTATGAAATAGAATTACTGTATTCAAATGTGTCCTCGTTTTTACAACACCATTTAGTGACCATAAGTTGCCAGATGGTTTTATTCCCTTCTTCTTCCTAGGCATTCTCATTTGAAATTCTCTCTAATGAATCCATCTTGCTTTTACCTTGAAAACCCATTCTTTTCATAGGTTTCCATCCACCCATTCATCAAACTCCCCTATATACTGAAAACATCCGAGAATGAACCGAGAAAAGTTTAAAAAGATTTTATTTAAAGGAATTTGTTATATGACACAATGATAACATATGTTGACAGATGATAAGGGATTTTCTAGTGAAAAGAGTGATCATAGCTATGCTCAGCTACTAACTTCGGGAGAAGAGCAAAAAGTTAAAATCCTAAAGGTCATCCCTTAAAAATTACAACATTATTTTAGACTTTGGGAACATTTTTAGGTATACTATTTTCAAGCATGTTTAGAGCATCCTTAGCATAGCGTAAGGGATGGTGTCCATAGTTTATACAAATTATGGGTAGAACTCATCACCCCATTAAGTGTTCTACCTCTGACATTCATCTTCTTTGCCAGAATATGAGTACACAGAAATATTTCTGTGGAGTTCAACTTATGGAAATATTACTGTCTGTGTATAGTTTGTATCCAATTAGAAAGCTTTTCTATGGAAAGCTTAGTAATCTTTATTAAAAGATTGCATGCCAAACATGAAATAAGTGTTTAGAATTCTGCATTTTAAGGGAGCCACACATTAATTGGCACCTTCAATTCAATACACACTTTAATAATTAAATTCTAATTTCACCATTTATATGAGATTATGACCTTGAGCAAAGACCCCTGATATAAAATGAAGATCATATGAAATCATGAATGTTAGGTATTTACCCTACCACCTGACACAAATAAATGTTCATTAGTATTATTGTTAATTAGGGAATCTTCTTTGAAAACTGTATCCAAAAGCTTAAAATTTCATGAACCCTGGTGGAATGAATAACATTCTATATTATGCCTTGGGCCAGTATAAGAAGTATTCCTTAAATAAGACCCTGCTGCTCCCCAAAGAAGAATCCTAGTTCATTTTTATTACTTATATGACAATGTGATATGATTATAATTGATATAACATCATTATTCATACAATTTTAAAGCAAGATGACACTTTCATTTGTTCATCTAGATTTAAAATCCATGCTTGTGATTGTTTTAATTTTTCTCAAAAATACTTAAGTGGAGTATTTTCTTGTCAGAATTTTTAAAATGTTATAAATTCTGTTAGTACATGTCAGGTATTTACTTACACTTGCTTATAAATATATTCATATACTTCATTTTAATTTCATTTAAAACATTATTACTGCTGAGCATGATGGCTTATACATGTAATCCCAGCACTTGGGAGACAGAAGCAAAAGGAGTACCATGAATATGAGGCCAGCCTCATGTGTTGCAGGGTGAAGCCTGGGCTAGGTAGTGAATTGTGGGCCACCCTGGCCTACACAGTAAGGTCCTACCTGAAAATCAAAACATTATTTTTGATAATAACTTATGATCCGTTACTATTATTGATGTATTAAAAATTGCTATGGCAGTCACATGAAATCTAATAATCTATTAAATAACTGGACAATCTTAATTATATATATGCCAACCAATACCATTCCATCTTAGGAAGTCTGAAACAATGAAAATCATTCAGTATTAACTAGGAGAACTCTATTAAATAGCATATCTGTGTTTATTAATTATTGTCTTAAAATACTAAACTATATGAAGCAGCATTTCTATGTTATGTACATTTTATACTCTAATTCTTTGAACTCAAGATACATGTGATTATTTTTCTCTCAAGAGGCTATCGTTGAATCATAAATCCTATTTAATCCTTCTAAAACAATTGGCTGCCCATAGCTATCTAAGCCAATCTACCTAACATCTGTGAGGTATTTTGGTTTACTTTTATTTTACTTATTAGAGATATTTAAATATTAGATTGTTTTCCTAATCATTCATTAGACTGTTTTTCAGAAAATCAAATTTTTAGAAGATTTTTCAAGCTACAAAATAACTTTATTAAACTGCATATCTGTCTCTTTCCCTCCCTTCTCCCCATCCTTTACCCCAGTCCCACCTCATCTCGCAGGTGAAAGTCGGGAAGAAAAATTAGGAGACTCCCTGCAAGATTTGTACAGGGCACTGGAGGAAGCCAGTCTGTCACCAATAGGAGAACATCGCATTTCAACCAAAATGGAATACAAGCTATCCTTTATCAAAAGGTGTAATGATCCTGTGATGAATGAAAAACTGCACAGGCTGAGAATTCTTAAAAGCACTTTAAAGGTAAGGGAGGAAATGGACAGATGCATACCTTTGGGGTGATTCCTTCTTGAATTGAAACTATATTGCCAGATACTATAAAAGTTAAGTGGTGCAAAATAGGGATCTAGAGGAAGGAAAAAGGAAATAGGAAGAACCTGCAGCAGAGTGATGGGAAGGGAATCCTGTCAGGTTTTTGTTGTTGTTGAAGTCCTAAGTCACTGACTAAATGCTACATGACTTAGTTTTAGAAGGAAATAGGATGTGGTTAAGACTTTCTTCTCAAAATGCAGGGCTACTGCTACTCCTTAGTCCTTTGATTCCTTAAGAGAAGATTACCATGTCGTGTAAATATTTATCGAAGATAGTAAAGGCAAATGGTATGCATGTAGAATGTGTAAAGGGCTTGAAATGTTCCGTGAATATTTCCTGCATAAGCTTCACTCCACATAGCATAATTGTTCTGTATACTTGATCAGTTCCTAACACACATATTACCTTCCCAACATATATTTCTGTAAGTGCTTAACAGGGTTTTCATTCTTCCTATGCCACACCTAGATTGGGAAGCAGGTGGTAAGGACATGGGACAGAGAGGCAGAAGTTGAAGACGGAGGTTGTGTAGATGAGGAAAGGACCTGTCTTACAAAGTACCTGAACAGGGCCTGTACTACATAAGAAGTAAAAACAAAATATCTAGAAGTATCATACAGAATGTGTAGCACAGTAATTCCAAAACACAAAATGTCAAAGGGCTTCTTTGAGGAGTGTTTTTAAATCCACAGCATCCTTCTAAGAAGGTAGTATTGGAATAGAGATGAGTACTAAATGGATAAATGCAGTAGAAAAATCGATGATTTGAAGCATTTTCAGGTAATAACAGCCAAGGATTCAGAGTCACTTAACTCAATGGTATTTGTGTAAGTGCACAGAACAATGAATGAACTTTGGTAGTTAATACCACAATTCTAGGGAGAGCTACAATAGTCATAAGAGTAATTCTACTGACCAACCCTATTCTGAAGATATCCTCACCTTCCTACCTTATTTTGGTTTTGCCTTCTTTGGTTGAATTTTTTTCATACAACTTATTCCGATCATGCTTTTCCTCTCTTCCAACTCCTCCCAGATCCTCTACACCCCATTTATCTCTCTCTCTTAAAAAGAAATAACCAAAAAAAAAAAACAGAAAATACAAAACAAAAGCAAATCTGAAACCGAAATATACAAGCAAAAGATAAATAAGACAAAAATAAGTTCAAACAAAGCAATATGAGACAAAAGGTCTGCAGAAATATTGAGTTCATTTTGTGTCCTCCCCCTCTTTGCCCTATGTGAATATCTTAAATACCTGCTCCTTGTATGCTGGCTGTCTCTGTCTCTGTCTCTCTCTGTCTCTCTGTCTCTGTCTCCCCCCCCCTCTCTCTCTCTCTCTCTCTCTTTCTTTCTCTCTCTCTCCTTCCCTTCACTTCCTACTTCCTCTTCTCTCTTTTCTTATCTTTTATTCACTATAAGTATTCTACAATATTTTTGTCCTATGACAATGAATATGAGCCACTGTAAATGTTGGGTTCAAGAAGAATCAATGAGTCACCAAATACATGGTGCTGTTTTGACTCTTCTGCTCTTCTAAGACAAAGACAATGAAAAAAGTCACTAAGAAGAAATGTCCCTTGCTGGTTCAAAAGTGGGGAGGAGCTATAGAACCCTGTACTTTGGGGCTTAGAAAATTAATAAGTTATAAAATCTTCCATTACAGAGAAATACATGAACAAGCCCAAAATTAGATCTTGGATTCCACCATAGGCAACTCCCAGCCCCATACCTATTTAGTATCTTGTCTCCTTACTGGCCAGAGCAGCTTCTCAGGCATAATATTGTCTTCTTTCCCTCCCAACTCTGACACAGGTGTCCCTTTTCACTCCTGCAGAACATTTCCAGGATTCCCTAAGCCCTCTGTTAGAGCCATAAAAGACAAGACTGGTTTTCTCAAACTGTCCTAATCCTTTCTCCATCTTACCTTCCACAGGAGAAATTCTTTCCTTCTACATTTCATACCTGTGCCTTTGAAAGTTATACCCATATAGTCATACCAAAATGAAGCTTAGTCGTCAGCTGAATCCCAGCCTATAAAATGAAATAGACTATTCATTATCAGGTCCCAGTACTATGGAAAGGGCTCCATGATAGTCCCAGGGCAAGAATTCTGTATTTGCAGCAACAGGGGGGCTGCTTCCTCTCACTGGGGCATGAAGAGTTTACCATATGAAGGAAGAGTAACTTGAGAGATATACAGTGGTAAGTCCACTTGGTGGCAGAGATAGGATGTTACAGAGACATTAGAGAGAGAGAGAGAAAAGCTTCTTTTTGGGTGTTTAAATGAGCTTTGAAGAAAGGAGAGACTTTTAAGCTGGATCTTACAAGTTGAGGAAGGTTTTCTTAAAACATGAAGGTTTCCATAAGCACAGAGGGCAAACAGGAAAGGCCGAGAGTAAATCCCAGACAACAAGCAATCCAAGACATAGCACTGAGTTAGAAAAAGATACAACATGATTTTAATCTAAACAACTGAATGTGAGCATATCATCTCTTAGAGGTTTCTGGATTTATTGGCTCACTGACTTGTTTCAAATTTCAGTAAAAGTTCACCTCCATCATAACTATTGAATTCTTTTGCTTTTCAGGCCAGAGAAGGAGAAGTAGCCATTATTGATAAAGTCCTAGACAATCCAGACTTGACATCTAAAGAATTCCAACAGTGGAAGCAGATGTACCTCGACCTTTTCTTGGATATCTGTCAAAACACCACCTCAAATGATCCTCTAAGTATTTCTTCTGAAGTAGATGTTATCACTTCCTCTCTAACACATACTCATTCATACATTGAGACACATGTGTAAGTGCATTCTGACTTGAGGCCATTTAGTACCTGCTGGTACTCTGAACAAGTACATGAGGTAGTTTTTTTATTAATGTGTTGAACACTTGACAAGCTATACTTTAATGTTACCAAACTATATGAAACAAAGCATACATGGTCACATTAACACTGTCTTTAATGAGCATTTGTATGTTTTATATGCTGTCAGTGCTCAGCTTATGTTTACCATGTGCAAAATCAACTATCTTTAATGACTTAAATTAACTTTTACAAACAATTCTAAATACAGGTGATCTTCAAATAGACAAACTCCAAAAAGGCAGTTTTCTATCTGAAGTCATCTTTTCTCCCTTTAAGTTAATTTTCTATAAATGATACTTCAAACGTAAATCACAATTTTTTCAGGTGCGGACATCCTTGTGGGTGGGAAAGAATTTAAACCTTTTTATATTTATTAAAATGTTCTAAGAATTTTCTTAAACATTGCACAAAGTTTAATGCTGTAGTTTTATTTTTGTGAAATGTAGGTGCGTATGAAAGAGTTAAGCAAACTAGAGCATCAACATAAGAAAAGTTCAGGTAGCTAATATCCGTCTTAATAGTCTATTAACTTGTGCTGACTGGTTAATGGAGGTACTCTTCCAAATCTATGAGAACACTGCATGGTGTATCAGGGCAAAGCTTTGTAAGATGTTTTTGTAACTAAGACCAAAATTGAAGATAGAGCTGCTTTATTTTCTTGGTTTAAATCTTCCTTTATTTTTGTAGTGATGAAATGCTGATTGTGTACAGAAGAATTTAAGAATGGATTTTTTTAAAACAGACTTAACTCACCCAGAAAGGCAGCTAACAGCTATACATACATACATACATACATCTCTCTCTATATATATATACATAATTTCAGCCCAAACTCATGGTTTTTGAACTCTTAACTCTTAAAAGACAAGGTATACACTGAAATGAGTCAATTTTCCAGGCAGTTTCCAATTTTCCTTGGTCTGTTAACTAAACTCCTGTAATTATACATCAGGCAGGGAAGTAAAATACATTTAGTCATCACAGATAGAAGTTATAATAGAGAAAACAATGATGACAAATGTTAATAGACTTCTCTGCTAAGGAACAGAGAATGGCAGTCATTCAGGGAGTCATTACTTTGAGTGACCTGAGATTAAGCACTTAGAGGTTTTTCCTAGAGTCCTGAACTGTTTATAGAGTGGATGGAGTCTATGAAAAGTCCTCTTCATATATTGCCATTTCTATGTGTCTAGTTTTGGAAAGTGACCACAGCATGAAAGTGACTTGCTGCTTTTTAGTGTGTGGCTGCATAATGTACAAGTCACAATTTGCTGTTTTTCCAGGAGGAAGAGACCCTCCTTTACTATTCTATATCCTAAAATCTATTTCTGATCAGCTTTATCCTGTTGCCTGTACAGCTCAGTGAATGTACTTATATCTCTAAGAGTTCAGATATATGCCAGTGAATATTTTTGCTGTAGAGAAGAAAGTAAAACCTACACAGTGGGGTCTTTTTCTTTGCTTTTGAAATCACATTAAATCACTATCGTTTTGCAGACTTTGCACAACTGTACAGGAGAGTGGCCTTTCTACAGCACATTTTCAGTAATCCTATATTTAGTCAAATGGATGAGAAACCACACATTAATGTTTGTATGGAATTTTGGGTCCAGTGTAATATTTTTATCATTGAAAAAAAAAACCCTATTTGTAAAAACATTTATTTACTGCATGGTTATTGACACACATTAAATTTGTGGGATTTTGTGTATGTAAAAGAGAGAAAGAGAGAGAAAAAAACAAACAAAAAAAACCCTTGTCATAAAATGAAGTGTGCTTGTTACAGTTTAGGCATATTGATGTTTACTAGACCAATGTGTATCTTCACTTAAAAAGATCTGTAAATGATGGATGTGTCACGTATACAGTGGACAAACAGCCTGCAAACAGCAAGCAGTTGGTGGGGAAACTAGCTCTGTTGCTAGTAAGCAGCTTCTACTTTTGTAAAGTCAGCTGTTACTTGATTGGTAAAAATTAAACTAATGAATTTCACAAGACTCGTGACTAGCCTAGCATGAAAGAGACCTTTTAACACTATATATCTGTACATTTTATTGCATTAGTTTCCAATCTAGGAGAGAGGCAGCACTGTAACCTGAAGTCAAATCAGTCCAGCTCTTACTGAACCCTTATAAAGCCCTACTTTCTTCATGCAGAGGGCTTACCACATTTCTCTGTGATCTAATCACACAGCCACCCTCACTACCACCACCCCACTTACAAGTTCTCACTTTGCCACCTCACTGATAGCACAAGCCAGAAGTAACACCTGTTCAGAGCTTACCAAGGTCTCCTGTGAGACCTTGAAAACTCAAGCTAAGCTGCCTTCCCACTGACCTGACCTAACCATGTAGACTTCACCTACTCGTTCCTTTTCTGTGAGCCTTTGGGCGATGGAGGGAGCAAACCACTAAAAATAAGTTCATTTTCTTTTGACAAATGTAGCATTTTGTGGTTAGGGTTTGCTGAAGTATGTCTAAACTATAAAGCTGCCTCTAGCCAGTGTGAAAGCAGATGGGTAAGGAACAGAAGAAAAAATTCAAAATTAACCAAGAATAATTTCTCACAGAAATGCTTTTTCCAAGATTTTTTTCCTTCTCAGTTCCGTTTCGATATGAAACTGTTAGAACAGATCTATAACCGTGGCCCTGCACTATAAAAATAATTCTCCTCCGTACAACTGTTCCACACCATTTAAGCAAGGCTCTCATGCACGCGTGTGTGCACACACGCACGCGCGCGCGCGCGCGCGCGCGCACGCACACACACACACACACACACACACACACACACAGACTCACACACACACTCACTCACTCACTCACAATTTCATCAGGTAATACTGTCTTGTGGGACTATTAGAGCTGTTATAGCCAACAATTTTCTGTGATTTGTGTGTAACTAATCGTACTTTTTTAGAGGGAAGTCATGAAAGTAATTACAGGCACCTGGAAAACACTTTAGGGAGGGAAATAAGGTCCTATTTTACTTCCAAATTCCTCCTCTAGCACAGGGTGAGTCTCTCTTTCTGAAAAGTCTGTAATTAACTAAAGCTGTTTCATATCACTGCATTTGACCATTCCTGACTGCCATTTGGTTAAAGGGGAATAGTTATTCTTTGGCCAAAGTCATGTTTGCCTCCTTACCCTTCAGAATTGGTCTATCAGAGTCCCAGTCTTGGTGGGGGTGGGTCTTAGCTCTGCAGGCAAGGTCAAGAACAACTTTCTCTTGGCTCAGTCTTGGTGGGGGTGGGTCTTAGCTCTGCAGGCAAGGTCAAGAACAACTTTCTCTTGGCTCCTCTGAAGACATATCTCACCTGTTCAACTCAACACTAAATCTAGTACCTCCCCAGGCTCTCCCTCCCTTTTCTCCTCCCCACCCTCTGCCAGCTGCAGCACTGCGCACCGAAGGCCACTCCACGCCCAGGGCAGCACACAGCCTATGTCCTCCCAACGGTCCAGGTCAAGGTCATAGCCCACTACGTTACAGGTTGGCACCTGGCGTGAATCCCGCCACTTGAGACCACCCAGCAGCAGCACTGTCTCTTCTACCACAGCAAGTCCATAGCAGAATCGGTCGTAAGGTAGTGACCGCAACCGAGTCCACTGGTCTGTGCTGGGGTCGTAGCGTTCGATCTCAGAGAAGGGCTCATATCTTCCTAAAAAGGCAAACACTGCGCCTCGCAGCACCGCAAGGTAATGCCCATAGCGAGCTGTGCCCATGGGTGCCCTCTTACTCCATGCCCTCTCTCCAGGGCTGAGGGAGTACATATCCCGGAGGCTGCTTGTGCCTCCTTCTCCTCTCCCTGTCTTGCCCCCGGAGATGTACACAACACCGTGGTCCCCAACGGCCCCCGCGTGACCGTGCAGTGCCCGAGGCAGCTCCCCAGCTGCCACCCAGCGGTCCCTGCGCAGGTCGTACATCTCCACTGAGGCCAGTGCCTCGCCACAGGAGCCCAGGCCCCCAACGGCCAGGAGACTGTCGCCTACCACGCCACACCAGAAGTAGGCCCGCGCTTCTCGCATGGCGGGCACCTCTGTCCAAGTGTGGAAGCGCGGGTCATAACGGTGCACTAAGGCCGTGACCGACCTTGGGCCGTCCACCAGGGAGCTAGATGGACTGCCAGAAAGGCTCTCCCCTCCGAGGACAAATAGGAAGTTGCCCATGGTACATACACTGTGGCCTAGCAGTGGTGCGGGCAGCCGTGTCAGGTTGTGCCAGCTGTGGTTGTACACGTCGAAGGACACCACATCCTGGGTGAGCTCCCACTCTTTCTCCTCCATCTCTCCTTCCTCCTCTTCCTCCGGTTCAGGTTCAGGGACAGGGCGCCGATTCCTAACTACCTCTGGTAGGACCACAATTTCCTCAGTAACAATCTCCCTAGCTCTGAGACCACCAACCAGCAAGATGCGGGTCTGGGGACTCCGAACACTAGTCTGTTCTACCTGCAGGAGCGGCTGGCGGGAAGGTGTTGTATGGTAATTGAGGGCCTGAATGATGAGGTCCTTGATCCTGGTAGGTAAAGTAAGCCCGGATCCTGAGTACACGCGCCTCAGTACACCTGTGGGCACCAAGCCAAAGCGGATACATCCAAGCAGTGTTGAACTGTGAGCCAGGCGCTGTGTTGCGGGCTCCTGCCTCAGCCAGGCTAGTGCCAGGCCCAGCAGCCGCGTCTCAGCCACCCGTGCCATGTCGGCGGCACTCAACACAACCTTCATTGATAGAGGGTTAAGTTCCAGTAGCCCCGAAGGGCCAGCGCCCATCAGTAGCAGCTCCCGCAGGTGACGCACGATGCAGCGCTCCGCTGCACCCAGGGTGCGAGCCAGGCCAAAGCGAGCAGCCACATTGGCAGTGAAGCAGCAATTCTCTGGGGCAAGCTGACGTTCCAGGTAGTGGCTACACAGCCCCAAGGCCTCTGTGACTTGCAAGTAGCTGGCGGCCTCCAGGGTGTCCTCCACAGTGTCCATGGAGAGGGGCAGCCAGGCGGTGTAGATGAAGTCCAGCAGGCGCTGCAGGCCAGTAGCAGAAGGCACATGCAGGTGAATTACATGAGCCCGCGATTCCTGAGTGTGACTCTTGAACAGGGCCCTGAAGTAGTCGCTGGAGCATGCCAGAAGTGACCTGTGTGCTGGAAACTCACTGCCCTCGGCCTCCAGTGTCACGTCGCACAAGAAGCCCTCAGCACGTAGGGCCTGGTAGCCTGTGAGAAGAGAGCTGCCGTGCGCTTTGCAGTAAGACAGGAAGTAACTCATGATGCCCAAGGCGGGAAGCTGAAATGGAGCCAGCCAGGCGGGGCTGGAGACATCCCGTGGCACCGACTCCCACCTCCGCTGTCCAGCTGCAGAGCCCCCAGCAAAGGCCGACGTTTGCCTGCTCAGCTTAAAACCTAGGATTCCTTCATCCAGATCTGGCAGTTGTTCCGTGCCTGTCTCAGACAAATGCTCTAGAGACAATTTCCAGAAGTCTCTAATAGCAGAAGGTGTGGATTTCCGAGTCTTCTCGGTCTTACCAGGCTTGGCTTCAGCTGCTGCTGAGCATGGCAGCGCGTTGCCCAAAGCCTCTTCCCTTCCACAATTTGGGAAGCCCACACTTGCACGCCACGGAGGGCGGTGGCCTGCACCATCACCCGAAGAGGTCAATCTGACAGTGCACCAGCGAGGGTGCTGGATCTCCAACAGGACAGATGAGTGGATGTGGCCCTATTGTGGGTGCTCCGGGAGTGCAGGATGGTGGTTCTGAATTCCCGGCCATGGAGCAGAAGGACCTGTTCTGTGGACACCCGCGCAGTCCGAAGACAACTGGCTAGGGGGCTGGGTGTGAGCTTGTTCTGAGAGGAGGATCAAATCAAAGCCTGTGGCATTGGGGGGAGCGCAGGTCAGTCAGCGTAGAAGGTTGGAAGCGTGATTGGGCGCGCTGCACATAACATGCCGGTAGCTCACAGTGACAGGAATAGTGCTCGCCTTGGCTCACTGGCGCGCAGCGACCCGACCCGCCCTGCGCCCCAGCTGCTGGCTGCGAGTCGCCCAGGGGCCCGGCAGGAAGCTTCCTGAGCCAGGGCACTGACTTCTGTGACCCGACTGGCCTCCAGTGACCGCGGGGGGGCCAGAGGGTCCCCTCGAACACTGAGCAGGGTGACGTGGGGGGAGCTCACAAAGGACCTGAGAGTCCCTAGGGACTCTCGGCCTGGTGATGCGTTGGGAGGTGTGTCTGGCTGAGCAGGACCAGAGAGCCCCTATGCCAGAGAAAGAAGCCCCAGGCTCAACTTTCGGCTTTGAATATGTCCTAATTAGTCAGGAGCAAACGGGATTAAGTGGCGATTTTGTGCACTGACACCTAAGAGGAGGCCTCAGCTCAGAGAAGACTCGAGCAAGAGCTAAGAGGGAACCCAGGCTCTGGGCCAGATTCGCATGCCCCTCACCTGCACTCACCGATGTGAGATTCAGGGGCATGTGCCTTTCCTAATGCAGGCGGAGTCTCCCAAGCTGCCTTGTTTCACATTCCACAGAATTTGCTCCCCCACTCCCCCACCCTCCACCTTCTGACCCCAGAGGAGATCTCTTTGGTATTCTTGTGGATCCTATCTCTTTGCAACACGGAGAAAGAAGTTGTAACTAACTTGAGCTGTCTATTTTTGAGTGGCAACGCCTCAAAAAGAAAAAAAAAAATCCTTATAGTTTTCTCTGATTTTCCAGGCTGTGATGTAACACCTAGCTGCTGCATCCTCAATGCCATGACAAGATAATGGGCAAATAGTCGCAAAATTCAGGAGAGCTGTGGTTTCTAGGGCCCCTACACAAAACGTTATTTTTATAAGAAACACCCAACGCAGAAATGGTGACAGAGCCCCCTGTCCATCGCCTGCATCCTGCTCTTATTTTATGAACTCATTAAGTGCTCTTTCTTGCCAGTTTGGAGGCTTCTGTTTCATTTTGCTTTCAGCTACAGTTCCTTTTCCAGGCTTTCAAAAGCAGCAGCACCCCCCCCCCCGCCGCCGCCGCCGCCCCCAGCAGTCTGTTCTAGCTGAGTCTTTCAGAGTTGTATTTCATAGAAGAAAAAAGTCCTAGGAAGGATAAAACTCTGTCATTTCCTACTTGGCCAGCCATCAGTTCTTATAAGGTCTCTGATTACATGCAATTATTTGATTTCATAAAAAAAAAAATTAGTAAAAATTCTGCAGGGCTGCAGAGATAGCTCAGCACTTAAGAGCACTTGCTGCCCTTGCTCATGTCCTGGGTCCAGTTCCCAGAACCCACATGGTGGCTCCCATCCATTTGTAAGTCCAGTTCCAAAGAATCCAACAACCTCTTCTGGCCTCTGTGCAAGCACACAAGTTGTACAAAGACATACATGCAGGCAAAAACACTCGGACATCTCAAATAAAGACAAATCTTTTAGAAAGTGATTCTGCTGCCAAAGATAGAATTGAGTTATAACTTAAAGTGCCAAATTATAGAGTGTAGGTAGGGGCTGGAGTTGTACTCCTATAACTCTAAAAAAAAAAAAGGTTCCAACAGAAATTCCTGCCATTACAGGTACAATAGATTCAGGGAGAGTGTTGTTCTTGTGGAGATGGAAGACACTATTAAAATGATTGGTTCAAAAAGGAAACATAAACTTGGTGTGGTGTCACATGCCCTTAGTCTCAGCACTCAGGAGGCAGAGGCAGGGGGATCCGTAAGTTTGAGGCCAGCCTGGTCTACAGAGCAAGTTCCAGGCCAGCCAATGGTGCACAGTGCGACCCTGTCTCAAAAAAAAAAAATTTAAGTGAAATATGACTATGAATCATTTTACACAATTCTCCATTTTAAATATAAATGTCCTTCACTGAACCCAATTAAATTTTGCTAGAAGGAATTTGGGGGATAATTAAGCCAAACCTTGGCCCTTTCCTCCAAAATCACATTTTTCCTTTTATACAAATATGCCAAACAAGCTCCAGACAGAGTATGGTTTATCTGAATGCCTTGAATATTGAGTTAGAGAGTTTGGCCAAGAATCCAGGGTTCTTTTCCTATTATATATTATGTAACCTTATATATGATAAAAATCAAATCATGCAACACACTTTACTTAAAAGGTGATACAGTACATTTACCATTTTACTAACTTAAGATTTGAGTGTGGTTTTTTGAACAGCACATTGTTCACACCTGTATTAACTCACATCCATCAGAACTGCTCATCACTGTGCATTTGTATTCAAGATGTCACATTACAAAGTAAAGATGACTGTGGAAAGATCTGAAACTCTTACCATCAAAATAATGTATTTACTGCTGGCCCAACCTAACATGTTTTGCCAGTGAAGAGGTGATGATGTGTGTTAACTGAAGACATTTTTACATTATGTGTGCTTGTAAGACCTTGTTTAGAAAATGTGTAACTGTCAACCCAAGAAAATCATTGTCATTTGAGTAATGGTTATATAGTGTTAGTATTTTTATTTCTGTGCAATATTAAGTAAAATTAAATAAAAAATTTAGTCTCATTGTGTTTAAATTGTGGTAGATGTGTGTCTTAAATTGATATCTTGGTCCATTCCTTAAATGGATACTGTATAAACAAAAGAAAGCCATTGTTCATAGTTATGGAAGCTGGAAGTCAACATTCAAGGCACCAGCACATTCAGTGTCTAGTGAAGACTCTACTGTGTAGAGATAGTGCCTTCTTGCTGCATCTTGCATGGCAGAAAGACAGAAGGTATTAATCCTATCACCAAGGCAGAGCCCTAGTGACCTACTCACTTCCCAGAGGCCACAATTCTCAAAGGTATTACATTGGATATTAACTTTCTACATGTAAATTTTGAGAGAACACATATATTCTGACCAAAACAATAGGGTTTCCCAGAAGCTTGCCTTGTAATCCAGCTTGAACATACAGTGGTGAGTAGATCTGATGGAATGTAGATATGGTCATTCTGGTGAAAATATCTCCTTATGAGTTGTCCTCCCCCTACTAGACTGTCAACTCCTCAGAGCAGGGGCTGTTTCTTGGACTTAGTATCTGCAGCCCTTGTCTTGGTCATTGCCACAAGCAATGTTGCATTGAACAGATGTGGGGAAGGAGAAAGTCTTGTTTTCTTCCTTTTTACACAGCTAGAGTAAGACATATACCAGTAAGGCTGAGAGAACCAAATGAGTGACCATACGTAGCTCTGGCTGTGGGGTCTGGTGGACTTGAGCTGTCTGAAAAGAAATTAATACCTTGTCCAACATCTAGTGCTGCACTGTGACCCCAACTCTTAAACCAGACCAAACCTACATGGCTCTCACATGCAGTCACATGCACTACTGCCCACCTAACTCAGACACAGGGTGCCCCAAGTACACTAGCCATAGCCATGATCCATTTGGTATCATTGAGCCTAGCTCTTCAGCCCAGCATACCCATTGGAACTCTACTATTTTCTCTGAACCCTTCACCAATTAGGCCTGTGAACTGCTGTTGCCAATCCCCTCCATCCACCTTCATCTCTGTAAGAAAACATAGAACTAAATTTCTACAAGCAGCCTTCTCAACCCCACATCCAAGCTGCAATGCTACTCACCCACAGCACTCTACCTGTCTTGAGTTGGCCTGTTAGAGCAAAATCTAAATATCATAGTTGTCATCTCTAAAATCTATACACATTTTTAAAAATACAGGTACAATGGACACTGAAAATGTTTTACTTATTTGAGGCTGAGTAAATGACTCAGCCTCTAAAGTGCTTGATACACAAGCATGGAAACCCAAGTTTAGAGCCTCAACATCCACATGAAAAACTGGGCCTGTTGGTGTGTTCCTGAAATCATAGTGCTGGGGATGTCAAGAGAGGAGGATCACTAAACCTCACTAATGGCTAGTCTTTCTGAATTGGTGAACACAAGGTTCAGTGAGAAACCCTGTCTCTAAAAATAATGCGAGAGCAATCAAGAAATCAACTTTACTTGATCCTCTGGCCTCTGCACACATACATGTGCACATACCTACATGAACACATGCATATACCACACATACCAAAAAATGTTATAAAAATGTATTTTGTGATCATCTGGGTAGCAAATTTAAGATACAATTAAGGTGATTTTATAATTAATATATAAAATAACACCCAATTCATCCATCTAAAGGTTATCAAAGGCAATGTCTCTTTCTCATCTGCCAGCACATGGTTTCTGGCAACCTCTATGGAAAGCCTATTATTAGAAATTGACACATTAAGTTTATTGTGAAAATACAATAATAAACAGAAACACACATGCAGTAGAAAGAAAAAAACTCCTATATTGCTGTCATATTTTTCCTGAGACTATTTTTATGTCTATGGAGTTTATTATATCTTTGGAATATGCAATTCCAGAAAAAAGGGGGTGTGTATGTGCCTGTGTGTGTGTGTGTGTGTGTGTGTGTGTGTGTGTGTGTCTGAAAGAGAAAGAAACAATGACAGAGACAGATAGAATCATGAGTGATGTTGTCATTCTAGCCCAGCCTAAAGGTCCTGGGCTCCAGTTACAATATGATCCATGTTGCTGTAAATCTAGTGTCTTAAATTTTGTGAGACATCATTTTATTATTTTTAAAAAGATAGTAACTCAACATTCACACCATTTTTTTTAAATTTATAATTTGATTTAATTTCACATATCAGCCACGGATTCCCCTGTCCTCCCTCCTCCCACTCCCCTGCCCTCCTCCAGGCCCACCCCACATTCCCATCTCCTCCAGAACAAGGGCTCCCTAGGGGTTCAGCTCAACCTGGTAGATTCAGTTCAGGCAGGTCCAGTCCCCTTCTCCCAGGCTGAGCAAAGTGTCCCTGCATAGGCCCCAGGCTCCAAACAGCCAGCTCATGCACTAAGGACAGGTCCAGATCCCACTGCCTGGGGGCCTCCAAAACACTTCAGGCTAATCGACTGTCTCACTTATCCAGAGGGCCTGATCCAGTTGGGGGCTCCTCAGCTACTGGTTCATAGTTCATGTGTTTCCACTAGTTTGGCTATTTGTCACACCATTCTTAAAATAAGAGAGAATTGAGTGTGAAGGGAGTGGCTGGGAGTCTGAGTGTCTCTGGGGGTCTAGCACAAGAGATGGGGTTTTCTTTCTCTTCTCCATCTCTTAAGTAAAGCCTTATGAAAACTCACAATACCAGGCCTGGGGAGATGGCTCAGAGGTTAAAAACACTTGCTGCTCTTTCAGAGGACCAGAGTTCAATTCACAGCACCCACATGGCAGCTCACAACCATTTGTGTCTCCACTTCCACTGGCTCTGATGCCCTCTTCTGAATTCTTTGGGCCCTGCATGCACTTGGTGCACAGATAAGGCAAGTATATCTATTATGTACAGGCAAGTCCTGTGTCATAGGTTTCTATGGCTGTGAAAAGACACCATGACCATGGCAACTCTTATAAAGAAAACATTTCATTGGGGTGGCTCACTTACAGTTCAGCAGTTCAGTCCATTATCATCATGGTGAGACATGGTGGCGTGCAGGCAGACATGATCATGGAGAAGGAGCTGAGAGTCCTACAGGAAACAAGAAGTGGTCTGAGTGTAACACTGAGGGAAGTCTGAGCAAAAGAGGCATCAAAATCTGCATCCAGAGTGACAGACTTCCTCTAACAAGGCCACACATCCTAAGAGTGCCACTCCCTTTGGGGGCCATTTTCTTTCAAACCACCATATCCTGGTACATAAAATAAAAATAAATACATACTTTAAAAAAATAAAGAAAAAAAGCTATCTCACAGTGCCATATCAAAAGAATGCATCAGTGTAGTGGTTCTCCTGCACCGTTACATGAGGACAAGTTAAGAAACAGACATTTTAAGACATAAGAGATGGCTCATGAGTAAGAACACTTTCTGAAGAGCCGAGTTTGATTTCCACACCAACATGGTGGCTCCCAACCATTCTTAACTCCAGTTCCAAGGGGTCTGAAGCCTTCTGACCTTCTTGGGTACTGCACACATGTGGTACATACTATGCATGCAGACAAAACAGCCATATGCATAAAATAAAAATACATTAATCTTTTGGAAAAAAGAAAGTCATTCTCAGCTTAATCTCAAGCTTGTTAAATTAGAAACTCTAGGACTGAGACCTGTGTTCTGTTCTAACAAGTCCTTCCCTGTTTCTTCTGCGTCCTGAGTTTACTATTCTAAAGAATAACTTCTGCTGGGTTTGATATCAATATTTTCCCCCAAACAGGGCTGTATTCGTCCATTTTTATCTTGCTAACAGCAAAATATCATATTTCACAATGGGGATTAAAGTGTAATAACTGAAGCTTATGGGGGACAACCAAATCACAGCAAGAAGAAACCCCATTTCTTTTGAAGGCCAGAGGTTAGAGACCCAAATGAGAACGATGGCTCCTTATCATACAGCTTAAAATAGGAACTCTTTTTTTTGTTATTATCTTCACTAGATGACAGTGTTGATGATGGTTTACTGATGCAGGAGATTATGGCCTGCTACCCCATGCATAAAATAAAGCAAAAAGCACGTGATTGAATCCTCAACTCTAAAGTTGGCTGTAGTCATTTCCTGTCCAAATGCCCTATTTTCAGAGGCTATTGGATGAATCATTAAATGTCCAAAGACGCCAACCAAAGGATATAGGGTCTGGAACAATTCTTCCTCATATAAGGAGTGGGTGAAGGAGCTAGAGGGTTCGGGCTAAGATGGAGAACCCCTAGGAGTCAATAACAACAATTTTCACTTTTCTGACGAGCCAAGAGGAATGCAGAGGTGGCCTCCTGGCTAGAATGCAGAATTGGTAATTGGAAGGTTCAAAGAGCAATATTGCCATCACATATTTATAGAATCGAATGCCAATTTAGAACATTGACGCAAATTGTACAAGTTAAAAGGCATAGAAAATACTAGGCCCTAAGGCGGGTTATGTGAAGCTTGAAGAAGGTAGAGAACTTGTGCAGGGGGACACAGTTTAGATTAATAAATCTAGTTGGAGGCATTTGTGTGGCTCTTCCATCCCTTTATCATTTGGGGGCCCTCCAATCACAGAGGTTTCCTTGTGTCCCCTTGTGAGCAGAAGACCCTGTGCTACAGAACCCCACCCCCACCCACCCCACTCCACTCACCCCCCCACCCCCCCACCCCCCCACACCTTATTTGTGCATTTATGAGGAGACAGAGAAGTACCTAGAAATCTGCTCTTCCAGAAGCCACCCTCAGCTCCAGATAGGCTGGGTGGGTAGTGGTCAGTATGTAGACATAACAGTTCCCTGTGCAAGTGACTCCTATAATTTCCAGAGCTCACTGGCTGGGCTGAGCCACAGTTACCTTCTGTGGGAACGTGCTTGATGTCACATGCTTCTAATTCCTGCCTCCACTCACCTGTTCATACCTACCTCTTCTGGGACTGTGTCCTACTAAATCACTTTCTCAAAAGGTCTTAGGTCAGGAGATATACCATTACAAAACCCCACCCAAGATACACTGACATTTTGGAGAAGGAGGAGGCAAACATCTATCATCCCCAGCCAGACCAGTC